AACCCACAGCTTGAGTACCCATCTGTATTCATCTTTTCCTCGTGAAGTATAAATCCTGCTTATCCTGTTGCCATAACCTCACTAAGTCTATTTATTTACAGATTAGCTCTCAGCTTGATTATTCCCTTTAAGTGCCCGCAGGATGGGTGTACACATGACACATTCTAGATATAACATGATTATCAAGGAAATGCTGTGGAAAATCCAGGACACAGCTCTGAAGATGTAAGCAGGGGGGGAGATCACATTTGTTCATAGCTGCTGTTATTCAGGCTAATGAGGGGTAAATTTGTGTTGTAATATGGGAAAGTTGAGAAATATAGGTTCCAATAGACATGGGGTCAGATCCTCAGCTGGAGTAAACTGAAGAAACTCCACTGACTTCAGTGAAGTTATCTATGCTGATTTACATCACTCAGCATCTGGCCCATGGTTTGTAAAATTCATGTTCCAACAGCAGATAAGTGTTGGCGATGGTTCAGTTTCTGCAAAAGTCTGAGACCTCCCATAGATGTACTCAGCCATTTAAAATTCCTTTGGAAGGACCAATTACAGGAGAACTCCGGAGTTTCACAGAGTTGTAGATTTTAAGGCCAGAAAGGGACTGTTATGATCATCTAGTCTAACCTCCTGTAAAACACAGGCCATAGAATTTCACCCAGTAATGATTCCTGTGCTAAGTCCATAACCTCTGGTTGCATATATTTTAGACAAACATCCAGTGCTGATTTAAAAGACTTCATGTGATAGAGAATCCATCTAATCCCTTGGTAAATTGTTCCAATCATTACTTACCTTCACTATTAAAATGTACTGTCTCTGTTCTAGCCTGAATTTGTCTAACTTCAGCTCTCAGCCATTGGATCTTGTTTTGCCTTTGTCTGCTAGAATAGAGAGCCCTCTGCTCTCTGGATTGTTCCCTCCATATAGGCAGTTAGGGGTCAGTCATGACCCTCTCCTCATGCTCACACAATGCCCGAAAAGCATGGGAAGACTGCACAGACTCTGGGAAACTCTGTATCTTCTGTACACTGCCCATCAGTGGTCATTGGTGGCACACTCAACAGCAACCAGGCAGTGGGGTGGGGGTGGGTGGCATTTTGCTTCTGCACAGAAGGTCTGCAAAGGGCATCCCACAGTATGTTCCCCCTGGTCAATGATGACCTCCCTTTGGCTTGCAAAACTAGCCTTTGAGAGGACACATTGGACTGCGCATCTAGTCTTACTGCTGTGCCCACTGGCACATTGTTAAGCCCTCAAGGTCTGACTGTGGGTTCCTTACTAACATTGAGTAGTACCTTGCTTCTTCAATAGCAATAGCCCCATTGATTTCTCTAGGAGTATTAGTGGAATGATGTTCTACTCAACCTGAATAAGGGTCTGGTCCAAAGAGAATAATTTAAAGAGGTTTTTGTATTTAATTTACTTGTTACTATTTTTAGTTGTCATGGACAAACAATACATAAAATCAGTTCATGAGAATGGACACTCACAGTACAATAGTGATATATTAACATAATGAACAGTGCTACAAACATAGTGATCGTGTTAATGAATACTGAAGGGAAAAATCTTTAATGGAAGTCTTTTGATATATGAGCTGTTGTTAATATGTTTAACATAATAGTAACAAATAATGTAACAATATACATGCATGTTATCTGCCCAAGAGGCTTTCTTTCATTTTTGTGCCCTGGTATCTTAGATAATTGCTTACATACACTGATCGGAACAACTCCAATATGACCCATCTAGTTAAGGTGTGTTTACAGCTACTTTGCATTGCTGAAGCGCTGCAAACCAGCTCACAATCTGTGAATCTGGCCCACTAAACTAACATTACATAGTTCTCTAAGGCAATTAGCATGTTTTTTGGGATGACCAATGCATATGATGCTTCTTTCAAAATTAGGACCCAAGTCTATTCCCACTGAGATCAACAAGAATTTTGCCGTTGACTTCCTTGAGGGCAGGATCAATCCCATTGTTGTAGAGCAAAAGTTGGATGTCCACCTTATCTTTTATTTTTCCTCTCCAAAATTCCAAAAGGGATTAGACCTTTTAAAATAAGTTAATTGTTTACAGTTTTCAAATTAAAGCACTTTCTGACTCAAAAGAATGGGAAACACGTGGTTGTTTGTTGTTGTTTTTTACTCCCCTCCCCCAGCTCCGACTTTTGTCATTTTAAAATGGCCAAACTGGTCCTTTGGAATTTTTTGCATTGTAGAAAAGGTATCTTTGTAGGTTGAGATGTTGACCTTCAAGATTCATTGCTAGGAAGTATGGGTCTGTAATGGGCACAGACATAGAGCACGGGTATGGAGAAAGTTTAGGACACATTCAGAAGGTATGTTGTGACACCCCCTGCAGGAGCTATCCAGACCTTGAATCCAGGCATAGAGGAGTAAGGGGCTCTGTGGGCCTGCCTACTCTTTCCTACAAGAAGGGAGATGACATGAGGCTTGTCTCGATCCCTGCCAGTCTGGGGGTAATAATTCACTGCTAGCATAGGCCAATGGGTTGAGGGGAGGAGCAAGGGATGGGGATATTTTGGCTGCCTGAGTTCATTTGGTTCTTTGTGGGCCCTCTTGTATTTATAGAAAGCTTCCAATTAATAAATACCCCAATGGACTATGAGTCACATATATGTTGGTCCACTCCAAATGTGTGTGTGTGTGGGGTGGAAGGGTAGTGTATTTCCCATACTAGACTAATTTCCCCCCATGTGTGTTGGAAGCAAATATTCTATGGATAGAGAATGGCCTCTCTAGAGTGGACCCTGTATAGCATAGGAATCTCACTAGAATGACCTTTGAATTTTAATTACAAAAAGACCTGGTCCCACGCACCTCACTCAGACAAAGCTCGTGTTATGGGACAGATTGTGCCTCCCTCACTCATGCTGAGTAATATAATCACTTATTCTGCAATTAGACCCTGATTCTGCTTTCACTGAGGGTCATCACAAAACTCCTGCTGACTTCAATGGGGACAGGAATGGGCCTTTAATTCCCTTGGAACCAATGGTGCTACTTGCAGCTAAGGTATCACTTGGCATAAGTATGGGAGGCTAAAACTGTCCCTAAATGAAATATGCAAGTCTAGGACCTGAGTCCCATTCATGATATATCCATTCAAGTTTGAAAAGCTAACAATATCGTTGTGACGGGTTCGACCACAGAGACCCCCTTGGGACTGTCACCTGATGTGCTGAGACTACCTCTGAGCCTGTTTTCTCTGCCAGTTTGGGCCTTCAGAACCCTGTCTTGTTGAGCCAGATATGCTAATCTCCTGCAACACAGACGCTGGGTCTGACCCATGCCCCCAAAGCTGCAGACTTAACTGAAAACAGTTTAGCAAGTGCTCCTGTCTCTAGCACCCAGACACCCAGCTCCCAATGGGATCCAAACCCCAAAGTAATCAGTTTTACTCTATATAAAGCTTATACAGGGTAAACTCATAAATTGTCAACCCTCTATAACACTAATAGAGAGATATGCACAGCTGTTTGCTCCCCCAGGTATTAACTACTTACTCTGGGTTCAATAATAAACAAAAGTGATTTTATTAAATATAAAAAGTAGGAATTAAGTGGTTCCAAGTAATAACAGACAGAACAAAGTAAGTTACCAAGCAAAATAAAACAAAACACGCAAGTCTAAGCCTAATACATTTAGATTACAGATGAAATCTCACCCCCAGAGATGTTCCAATAAGCTTCTTTCGCAGACTGGACTCCTTCCTAGTCTGGGTCCAGCAATCGCTCACTCCCCCGTAGCTACTGTTCTTTGTTCCAGTTTCTTTCAGGCATCTCTTGGCGGTGGAGAGGCCAGTTCTTGAGCCAGCTGAAAATAAAATGGAGAGGCTTTTAGGGTCTTTTATAGTCTCTCTCTTGTGGGCAGGAACCCCTTTGTTGTTCTGTGCAAAGTCACAGCAACAAGATGGAGTTTGTAGCCACCTGGGCAAGTTACATGTACATAAATGATTCAGCTTTTTGCAGGCCGATGCCATTGTTTATATGTTAGTTTGAACATTCCCAGGAAAGCTCAGATTTGGATTGGTGTTTCCCAAAGTCCATTGTCAGTTAAGTGTTTCTTGATTGGGCATTTACTGAGAATAGTCCTTTCTCAAGAAGCTGACCAAATGCTTCACTGAGGCTACTTAGAATCACATTGAGATACAAGTACAAAGCCAATATTCATAACTTCAAATACAAAAATGATACACACATACAGACAGCATAATCATAACCAGCAAACTACAACCTTTCCATAGACACCTCACTTGACCTCCTCTGTACAAGACCTAATGCAACCACAGGATCTGGTTGCAACAATGATCTATATGGTCACAGTACATGTCAATAACGTCACAATTGTGTTCTCTCTTTGATGAATCCTGTCTTTTATTCTGGTAGCATCACAAATCAGTTTGTAGTCTGGCTGCCTGCAATACTTAACTCCTCCTAACTCCTAAAAATGCAGTGCATAATAATTGAGAGTGATAACTCCTGACACCACCTAAATTATGGAATCATAAACAGAGAACATTTACTATCATAGGCAGTATTATTTACAGTACAACAGTGTGTGAATGCTGAACTCTGTAAGTGATTTCTGATTGGATTTCACATTTAACTTAGAATAACTACCTTGATAAAAGCCCTGAGAGAATAGTACCGTCTTGTAGCTTTTACGTGATTGCTATTGTATGCCATTATAAATCTTACATTCTTCATTTAGATATGCTAAGTAGGCTTTTTCTTCCTCTACTAATGAAAAAATCCCCCCCTTTTTATACAGTACTCAGAATTAAAATTAATATTAACGTTGCTCAGCTTTGTGGTTGGGGAGGGAATTTCAATGACTTTAATAAGAAAGTTAATTTCATTTTTGGAAGCAAAACGTTTGAAAAAAAGAATACAAAGCAGAGTGCTTGACCTTTTCTCTGGTAGGTTTCAGAGTGGCCTGCTATAAATGGGACTTTTTTTTCCTTTTCAGGAAAAATCTTTCAGCAAGACAAAACCAACACCTCCGAGACCTAGTAAGTTCTTGTTCTGTTAAATTCTACTTACCTTGGGGTGCAGATTCAAATACTATGGAACGGATCTGTTCTCATAGAATCATTAAATGATTTGAGAGTTATCAGAGTTTGAAGGACTAAATCCTGCATTGATTTAGTTAGTTCATTCTCCTGCATCATGGCAGAATTAATTTAGTTATCTTTAAATCATCTCTGCTAGATGATGTGAAGTCTAGTTCTGAGTATTTCCAGTGATGGTGAATTATCTCTGTCCTGTGGTTTCACATCCACACTTGGCAGCTTATTCCATTGCTTAATTGCTGTTTTTGTCCCTGTCCACAGTCAGAGAAGAATCATGCTGTCTAGATTCATTTACAACCACGATCAAACATCATTCTGGGTGCTTGACAGTCCTTTTTGAAAACAGCTGTAACTAGCAATGTTCCAGCACATCTTGAGTGTCTCTCCCCTTCTTCTAAGAGAGATGCTCTGAGAGAAGGAAATGAGGGCCACCCTTAACTTGAACCAATAAAACACCAGGGAAAATGTATAGAGATGTAATGCCTAATCTTGATTAACTCTTTCCACACCATATACAGCCTGAATTCTGGGAAACACGGGGTTTCCCACTGCATCTCCAGCGCCGCAGGAAAGGTCAATGGAACACAACAGAGTTTGGAACAACTCTATCATAGTGTCATTTTTCTGGACAGGTGGATAACTGTGTGCTCATCTGAAGTGCTCATCAGCCAGGGGAGTCTGAGCTGCTTACACTAGGGCTGAACTTGCTCCGGAGCGTGTACCTGCGGGTAAATGATACTCAATGTGTGGTTTAAACCAGATATATTTATCTTAATTCCCATTTCCCTTTTTTTTCCCCAGTGAGTGAACCTGGGATTAGAGCTGTGGGTTCAGAGAAGTGGACCCTGGTGACACCGGTGCCACATGTGAGTAATGGGGACTACTTTCTAAATACTGCCATTTGGCGGGGCAGAAGGGTGGTCGTGCGGCTGAGGTCCAGGACTCTGAGTCTGAAGGCCCATAATGTCTGTTCCCAGATCAACCAGATTTCAGGGGTGACGTAGCCCAGTCACCCAGTAGAACATTTGCACCAAGGTCAGGGTCCACTTCCATTTTGGCACCCACACCGTGAATGATGGGATACAAATCTGAGGGCTTGTGCCTCAGCCTGATTTCCAGGGGTATAATTCATAGGCATCTGCAGAAGGAAGGCTGCTCTTTAGAAAATATGATGCTTGCTTTGTGTCTCTTCCTCAATTTCCTCCTCTGTAAAGAGGGCCAGGAATGTTGCAGCTATCACTAATGGCTGCAGAGTGCTTTGAGATGCCCCAATGGAAAGGCTGTGTGGGAAAATCTTATTAGTATAACGATGATTGCATACGGGTAGTGGCACAATATAGATCACTCACTGAATTATTCAGCTTTCCCTTCTCTCTCTCTCCCGTCTACTCCCCAAAGCGACATAAACAAACTCTGGTTTTAATTGGAGACTTTCATTTCTACCCAATGGATGTTACGCTGGAGTTCAAGCCCAGCAGCAGTGTTCAGGGTGGTGCGAGTTTGTTTCAAATCAACCGGTGTATACTAGGAATGTTTTTCTACATTTTCAAATATATCGATTTCAATTACAACACAGAATACAAAGCGTACAGTGCTCACTGTGTATTATTTTTTGTTACAGATATTTGCACTGTAAAAATGATAGACAAAAGAAATAGTATTTTTCAATTCACTTCATACAAGTAATGTAGTGCAATCTCTTTATCATGAAAATGCAGCTTACAACTGTAGGTTTTTTTGTTACATAACTGCACTCAAAAACAAAACATTGTAAAACTTTAGAGCCTACAAGTCCACTCAAGTCCTACTTCTAGTTCAGTCAATCACTAAGGCTTGGGCTACACTAAACCCCCAAATCGAACTAAGGTACGTCGACTTCAGCTACGTTA